ACCTCAAACAGTCACACTCCAAACTCCACTATGGCCAAGACCAAAGAGCTGTCAAAGGACACCAGAAACAAAATTGTAGACCTGCACGAGGCTGGGAAGACTGAATCTGCAATAGGTAAGCAGCTTGGTTTGAAGAAATCAACTGTGGTGTCACGCCCTGACTCTGGGGACTCGTATTTGTTGAGTCAGGGTGTGTATTTTTCTGTGTTGTGTTTTGCTATGTTGATTTTCTATGTTTAGATCTAGAATGTGTAGATCTATGTTGGCCGGGGTGGTTCCCAATCAGAGGCAGCTGTAGCTCGTTGTCTCTGATTGAGGACCATACTTAGGCAGCCTATTGGCACTAGTGGGTTGTGGGATCTTGTTCCGTGTTAAGGTATGTTGTGTTGTGCTGCCTTGGACTTCACGTATCGTTTGTTTATTGTTTTGTCCTTGTGTTTATTCGTTAATAAACATGTATGCATATCACGCTGCGCCTTGGTCCGTCCCGTCTGTAAACGATCGTGACATGTGGGAGCAATTATTAGGAAATGGAAGACATACAAGACCACTGATAATCTCCCTCGATCTGGGGCTCCACGCAAGATCTCACCCCGTGGGGTCAAAATGATCACAAGAACGGTGAGCAAAAATCCAAGAACCACACGGGGGGACCTAGTGAATGACCTGCAGAGAGCTGGGACCAAAGTAACAAAGCCTACCATCAGTAACACACTACGCCGCCAGGGACTCAAATCCTGCAGTGCCAGACGTGTCCCCCTGCTTAAGCCAGTACAGGCCCGTCTGAAGTTTGCTAGAGTGCATTTGGATGATCCAGAAGAGGATTGGGAGAATGTCATATGGTCAGATGAAACCAAAATATAACTTTTTGGTAAAAACTCAACTCGTCGTGTTTGGAGGACAAAGAATGCTGAGTTGCATCCAAAGAACAAAGGATTTAGTCAGCCACCAATTGTGCAAGTTCTCCCACTTAAAAAGATGAGAGAGGCCTGTAATTTTCATCATAGGTACACGTCAACTATGACAGACAAATTGAGAATTGTTTTTCCAGAAAATCACATTGTAGGATTTTTTGTTATTAATTTATTTGCAAATTATGGTGGAAAATAAGTATTTGGTCAATAACAAAAGTTTCTCAATACTTTGTTATATACCCTTTGTTGGCAATGACACAGGTCAAACGTTTTCTGTAAGTCTTCACAAGGTTTTCAAACACTGTTGCTGGTATTTTGGCCCATTCCTCCATGCAGATCTCCTCTAGAGCAGTGATGTTTTGGGGCTGTCGCTGGGCAACACAGACTTTCAACTCCCTCCAAAGATTTTCTATGGGGTTGAGATCTGGAGACTGGCTAGGCCACTCCAGGACCTTGAAATGCTTCTTACGAAGCCACTCCTTCGTTTCCCGGGCGGTGTGTTTGGGATCATTGTCATGCTGAAAGACCCAGCCACATTTCATCTTCAATGCACTTGCTGATGGAAGGAGGATTTCACTCAAAATCTCACGATACATGGCCCCATTCATTCTTTCCTTTACACGGATCAGTCGTCCTGGTCCCTTTGCAGAAAAACAACCCCAAAGCATGATGTTTCCACCCCCATGCTTCACAGTAGGTATGGTGTTCTTTGGATGCAACTCAGCATTCTTTGTCCTCCAAACACGACGAGTTTAGTTTTTACCAAAAAGTTCTATTTTGGTTTCATCTGACCATATGACATTCTCCCAATCCTCTTCTGGATCATCCAAATGCACTCTAGCAAACTTCAGACGGGCCTGGACATGTACTGGCTTAAGCAGGGGGACACGTCTGGCACTGCAGGATTTGAGTCCCTGGCGGCGTAGTGTGTTACTGATGGTAGGCTTTGTTACTTTGGTCCCAGCTCTCTGCAGGTCATTCACTAGGTCCCCCCGTGTGGTTCTGGGATTTTTGCTCACCGTTCTTGTGATCATTTTGACCCCACGGGGTGAGATCTTGCATGGAGCCCCAGATCGAGGGAGATTATCAGTGGTCTTGTATGTCTTCCATTTCCTAATAATTGCTCCCACAGTTGATTTCTTCAAACCAAGCTGCTTACCTATTGCAGATTGAGTCTTCCCAGCCTGGTGCAGGTCTACAATTTTGTTTCTGGTGTCCTTTGACAACTCTTTGGTCTTGGCCATAGTGGAGTTTGGAGTGTGACTGTTTGAGGTTGTGGACAGGTGTATTTTATACTGATAACAAGTTCAAACAGGTGCCATTAATACAGGTAACGAGTGGAGGACAGAGGAGCCTCTTAAAGAAGAAGTTACAGGTCTGTGAGAGCCAGACATCTTGCTTGTTTGTAGGTGACCAAATACTTATTTTCCACCGTAATTTGCAAATAAATTCATTAAAAATCCTACAATGTGATTTTCTGGATTTTCTTTCTCAATTTGTCTGTCATAGTTGACGTGTACCTATGATGAAAATTACAGGCCTCTCAAATCAAATCAAATCAAATTTTATTGGTCACATGCGCCGAATACAACAGGTGCAGACATTAGAGTGAAATGCTTACTTACAGCCCTTAACCAACAGTGCATTTATTTTTAACAATAAAATAAAACAACAACAAAAAAAGTGTTGAGGAAAAAAAGTGCAGAAGTAAAATAAAATAACAGTAGGGAGGCTATATATACAGGGGGGTACCGGTGCAGAGTCAATGTGCGGGGGCACCGGCTAGTTGAGGTAGTTGAAGTAATATGTACATGTGGGTAGAGTTAAAGTGACTATGCATAAATAATTAACAGAGTAGCAGCAGCGTAAAAAGGATGGGGTGGGGGGGCAATGCAAATAGTCCGGGTAGCCATGATTAGCTGTTCAGGAGTCTTATGGCTTGGGGGTAGAAGCTGTTGAGAAGTCTTTTGGACCTAGACTTCGCACTCCGGTACCGCTTGCCGTGCGGTAGCAGAGAGAACAGTCTATGACTAGGGTGGCTGGAGTCTTTGACAATTTTGAGGGCCTTCCTCTGACACCGCCTGGTATAGAGGTCCTGGATGGCAGGAAGCTTGGCCCCAGTGATGTACTGGGCCGTACGCACTACCCTCTGTAGTGCCTTGCGGTCGGAGGCCAAGCAGTTGCCATACCAGGCGGTGATGCAACCAGTCAGGATGCTCTCGATGGTGCAGCTGTATAATTTTTTGAAGTGGGAGAACTTGCACAATTGGTGGCTGACTAAATACTTTTTTCCCCCACTGTATATGTGTGTATATATATATATATACCCCATAATGACAAAGTAAAATGTATTCAAAATGAAATAATTAAATGTCTATTTTACATAAGTATTCACACTCCTGAGTCAATTCATGTTGGCAGTGACTACAGCTGTGAGTCTTTCTGGATAAGTGTCTAAGTGCTTTGCACACCTGGATTGTACAATATTTGCACATTAGCTCCGTGTAGCTCAGTTGGTAGAGCATGGCGTTTGCAACGCCAGGATTGTGGGTTCGATTCCCACGGGGGGCCAGTATGAAAAAATAAATAATGTATGCACTCACTAACTGTAAGTCGCTCTGGATAAGAGCGTCTGCTAAATGTAAATGTAATGTTTTGTTTTAAAAAAATTATTCAAGCTCTGTCAAGTTGGTTGTTGGTCAACGCTAGACAGCCATTTTCAAGTCTTGCCGTAGATTTTCAAGCCGTTTTAAGTCAAAACTGTGTTTTAGGTTAGTGTCCTGATGAAAGGTGAATTTGTCTTCTAGTGTCTGTTGGAAAGCAGACTGAACCAGGTTTTCCTCTAGGGTTTTGCCTGTTCTTAGCTCTATTACATTAATTTTTTATCCTAAACTCCCTAGTCCTTGTCGATGACAAGCATACCCATAACATGATGCAGCCCCCACCATGCTTGAAAATATGAAGCGTGGTACTTAGTGATGTGTTGTGATGGATTTGCCCCAAACACAACACTTTGTATTCAGGACAAAGTTAATTTCTTTGCCACATTGTTTGCAGTTTTACTTTAGTGCCTTGCTGCAAACAGTTTTGGAATATTTGTTTTCTGTACAGGCTTCCTTCTTTTCACTCTGTTATTTAGGTTAGTATTGTGGAGTAACTACAATGTTGTTGATCCTTCCTCAGTTCTCTCCTATCACAGCCATTAAACTCTGTAACTGTTTTAAAGTCACCATTGGCCTCATGGTGAAATCCCTGAGCGGTTTCCTTCCTCTCCAGCAACTGAGTTAGGAAGGACGCCTGTATCTTTGTAGTGACTGGGTGTATTGATACACCATCCAAAGCCTAATTAATAACTTCACCATACTCAAAGGGATATTCAAGTTTGCTATATTTTTTTGACCCATCATTGGAAAACCTCCCTGGTCTTTGTGGTTGAATCTGTGTTTAAATTCACTGCTCGACTGAGGGACCTTACAGATAATTGTATGTGTGGGTTACAGAGATGAGGTAGTCATTCAAAAATCATGTTAAACACTATTATTGCACACAGAGTGAGTCCATGCAACTTATTATGTGACTTGTTAAGAACATTTTTACTACTGAATTTATTTAGGCATGCCATAACAAAGGGGTTGAATACTGATTTACTCAAGACATTTCAACTTTTCATTTTTAATTAATGGAAAAAAATATTTAAAACATAATTCCACTGTGACATTATGGGGTATTGTGTGGAGGCCAGTGACACACAATCTCAAATACATACAGTATTATGTATTATTATTTAAGCAGCAATGGCACACACAAGTTTGAACATTTCGACTTTTTACTTCAGAAGTGGCTGTTCAGTAAACATGTATTTATTAATCATCAGAGAGTGATGGGTGATCATTTGCCCATGGCCAACCTCCATTCCAGGTGTGAAAATGTTTTATAACATTATTAATGCAATTGTGAAAATGTTTTATAACATATTAACGAGTTGAGTCACAAAAGTTATAGGACATATACTCTCTATTTGGCAGTACACTGTAGCCTCGTAGGCCTACAAATTACATCGTCCAATTGGATCAGGGCTGCAGATTACTAAATGCCGATATAGGACAAGTCTTGCTAAAAATAAATTCGCCCGGGGTAAACGTATGCATATCCCACATGATGGAGCCTATGTTGTCAGACCTATTTGCACGCACAACCATCAAAGGCAACGATGCAGAGAGAAGAGACAAGGTCGAATTATTAAAGGTTTACGAACTCTATGAACCACGGATGTAACCGTGTCCCCATGATATTGTGCACAGCCATATCGGAGACTAGCCTACAGCTGGACTTTAATTTCCGCGTTGTCTTTTCACACTTTGACCGAGTTCACTCGGCTTTACAATGGGTCAAAATCAGCAAGCTCAGTCAACCAGCGAAGAAGAGTTGGAAGTATCCACAATTCAAGAACTCTACAAGACGTTCGTCGATGAGTGCCCGAGCGGTTCGATGCACTTGCACGAGTTCAAAAGGATGTTTGGGGTTCAAAATGATGAATCGCCGGAATCGCAATACATGGAGGGCATATTCAGTGCGTTTGATATGAATGAGGTAAGATTTGGGATACAAACAAGCAGACCTGGGTTAATGACATTTGCATTTACTGTAAAATATTGATTTGCATACTGTAACAAAACATTTTTTCGTGGTGTAGGCCTAAAGTTATTATGGACTCCCTGCCCCCTCCCCTCAAGTGTTTTCAACATCCTATTTAATTCATAAATATAGATTTATACAATTTAGTACCATACTATTATTAATATTGTTTTCTAGAAAATGTGTTTCCCAGAATGTGTCCACTTTCAACATGTAGGCTGAGCTATTTGTCTGTACAGTATCATGCATCATTTGTCCATATGCTTAAACAGCGTGAAGGTAGATGGCCATAACACCCCTCTTTCCATAAAGTGGGCCAGTGTGTAAAGTCAAATGGGTCGTTCCGCCTCAAAAAGAACCCAAAATCTCAGATTGTTCTGAAATCGTTTCTGTTGTTAGAAACCGATAAGATTAGCATTCCTGCAATATTATTTTGTTGAAATATAATTTGATCTCTGAGAAATTAATCTAATTGATTGCACCCAAATTTTTAATTTACATTTTTAGTTTTCATATAATATTCAATAAATATAGTACCTAACATCCAAATTGGACCATAATTTTTCTAACAATGACTTAGACATGAGAAATCCAAAGAAATTGTCAAAAGCCACCCATGGACCCCCCACGCCAATCCCACCCCAACAACTAGTATATAGTATCAGTTGTCTATGTCTGACCAGTAGTATGGAGCTGCAGCTCTGCGTGTTGTTTCTTCATCCTATGTATTATGTTCCCCAAAAATGTTTTTTACCCCTGTTCAGAGAAAATATTCATATACGTTTTTTTCATTTTTTTTTTTTTTTAGGGGGTAGATCAGTTTTAATATTGCAGATTGTAACTTCCATCAATGTAATTGTTTGCATCACTTCCAATACCCCATGTTTTTTTTTCTTCTCTGCATATATATATAATATATAATTTTTATATATAATATATATTATGTTATTATAATAATATTATATTATTATATCCATTATATATATTATATTATATTATATATTATATTATATTATATATATATATATATAATGGAATGCATTTCAATTAATAGGTGTGCCTTCTTAAAAGTTAATTTGTGGAATTTTATTTTCTTCTTAATGCATTTGAGCCAATCAGTTGTGTTGTGACAAGGTAGGGGGGTATACAGAAGACAGCCCTATTTGGTAAAAGACCAAGTCCGTATTATGGCAAGAACAGCTCAAATAAGCAAAGAGAAACGACAGTCCATCATTATTGTAAGACATGAAGGTCAGTCAATACGGAACATTTCAAGAACTTTGAAGGTTTCTTCAAGTGCAGTCACAAAAACGATCAAGCGCTATGATGAAACGGACTCTCATGAGGACCGCCACAGGAATGGAAGACCCAGATTTACCTCTGCTGCAGAGGATAAGTTCATTAGAGTTACCAGCCTCAGAAATTGCAGCCCAAATAAATGCTTCACAGAGTTCAAGTCACAGACACATCTCAACATCAACTGTTCAGAGGGGACTGTGTGAATCAGGCCTTCAAGGTCGATTGCTGCAAAGAAACCACTATTAAAGGACACCAATAATAAGAAGAGACCTGCTTGGGCCAAGAAACACGAGCAATGGACATTAGACCGGTGGAAATGTGTCCTTTTGGTCTGGAGTCCAAATGTGAGATTTTTGGTTCCAACTGCCATGTCTTTGTGAGACGCGGTGTGGGTGAACAGATGATCTCTGCATGTGTAATTCCCACTTGAAGCATGGAGGAGGAGGTGTTATGGTCTGTGTCTGTGACTTATTTAGAATTCAAGGCACACTTAACCAGCATGGCTACCACAGCATTCTGCAGTGATACGCCATCCCATCTGGTTTGGACTTAGTGCTTAGTGGGACTATCATTTGTTTTTCAACAGGACAATGACCCAACACACCTCCAGGCTGTGTAAATGATGGAGTGCTGCATCAGATGATCTGGCCTCCACAATCCCCCGACCTCAACCCAATTGAGATGGTTTGGGATGAGTCAGATGGAAGAGTGAAGGAAAGCAGCCAACAAGTGCTCAGCATATGTGGGAACTCCTTCAAAACTGTTGGAAAAGCATTCCAGGTGAAGCTGGTTGAGAGAATGCCAAGAGTGTGCAAAGCTGTCATCAAGGCAAAGGGTGGCTATTTGAAGAATCTCAAAAATAAAATATATGTTGATTTGTTTAACATTTATTTGGTTACTACATGATTTCATATGTGTTATATCATAGTTTTGATGTCTTCACTATTATTCTACAATGTAGAAAATAGTACAAATAAAGAAAAACTAGTATACATTTCTTACTTCGAGACCACATAAGGATTTTTATTGAGGCTATAGTTGATCATGATCGTTTGACTGTCTCTATTACAGGACAACACCATGGATTTCATCGAATATGTTGCTGCGCTAAACCTTGTGCTTCGAGGACGACTCGAGGATAAACTCAAGTGGTCTTTCAAGGTGTTTGACAACGATGACAATGGGCGACTGGATAGGCGCGAGCTGAGAATAATTATAAGGGTAAGGGTTGGGGCCGAAGTGCGACCTATAGTAACATTCTAAGCCAGTGTTTCTCAACATGGGTCCTGGTAGGGACCTGTTCTACGGCACACTAATTAGACACTAAGCCGTATATACTGTATCTGCTTGGATCAGGTAACCACTAAACTCAAAGCCTCTGAGAATCAGCTATTTATCAAACAGAAAAACAACAACAAAGTTTAATAAACACATTTATATTGTAGATACTGCACTTTGCCTTTGCATTACCCATATAGTTGTTTAAGGTCAAACAAAGGCAGAGTGCAGTATCTGCATTTTAGGGGCCATAGGCCAAATCAGTGGTAATGGTTGATTTGCATAAAAATGACTTCATAATAAGATGATACTTCATTGCATTATCACTTATCTACCTACAACATATTTGGCTGGCTAACAAAAATATTTTAAAGCCATTTGTCTTGGATTCACTGTTGGCGTAGTTACAGTGTTTTGTAGGGCAGTATTGGAAGTACTCTAGTTAGAATAATTCAAATGAATTGAACATTTGGGCCATTTAATTCAGGCTTCTTAATCGGAGCAATTTATTCGGTAATTCAAAAGCTGCACGCACAGTGGCTGTTCAGGATCGAAGTTGAGAAACCCTGCTCTTGGACTTGAAGGCTGCGGTCCGATGCTCTACCCTTCTCCCGAAGTGTGCACTCGTATACGCCCCCTTATGGATTTAAAAGCATTGAATTGGTGTAATGAATATGGTAGGAACTTCCCCCAGCCGTCCTTGTACCAACCTAATGCTTTTAAATGCACACTTGTGGAAGAAGGGTAGGAATTCTCTCAAACCCCAACTGCATATCTCAGAGATAATCATTGACTTATCTTTGAGGGACCAATGTATGGAGTGTTAAGATATTCTGCAAAACGTAACTGTAAAGTTGATTTTATGTAACATTCCTCTGTTTGTGATGTCTGTAGATCATCTACAAGATAAAGCAAGGTTCTGTGACTGATGAGGCAGGTCACACCCACCTTACACCTGAAGAGGTGTGTGACCGTATTTTCCAGAAAGTTGACGATAATGGCGACGGTGAGCACCGGAGAACTTATTTGTGAATTTTGACTGCCTTTAGCTGTTACTGTAGCATGTTTTCATGGGCCCACTCAAAACACATCACATGGTCAGAAATAATGACATAGCGAGACACTATTAAAAATGTGACCCATGTATGGCTGGATCTACTCAACCGATGGTGCAGGAAGTGGGATGAATTGTGACTTGTGAGATCTGAAAATAATTGGTAGTGAGCTATCCACTTGAACTAATTGTTGATGATACAGTATAATGACAGAGTGGGGACACATCATGGAGAATAACAAGGATCTCCTTTTTATCTTTGGTTCCAGGTCAGATAACTCTGGAGGAGTTTGTGGAGGGGGCAAAGAGAGACCCCTGGGTGCAAAAACTCATAAGCCTGGATATCAACCCCAGTTACTGGGTCCACCAGCGCTTGAGCGACAGAAAACTCCAGAGTCCAAAATGATGAACTAAAATGTCAGACGGAGGAAGAGGACATTGGGTCTCTCTATAAAAGAGTAGCTGAACCAAAAAAACAACTTATCTGGTTGAAAACGGCCTAGAGTCATAAACATCAACTCTAGTCCCAAAATGACTAAAATGTTTAAATAGGATAACATTGGTCATAAAGTCAGTATCTCCCAAAATTGGGATTTGCTAGATTTAGGAAATTGATGACGTTGCCAAATCCTTGGATATTTGAGGTTGGGTTTGAATTTCAATTATGCCAACATGCAGAGCATGCTCACTCTCCGCAGTGTCAGAAGAAAGTGGATGTTTCCAGTTTTCAGGGATACAGTATTTTCAAACTAACTTCCATTTCCCCTGAAAAACGGATGTGGGGACTTTTTGCATCTGCTACGTTAGGTTAGAGCATGCTGCATGATATCCAATCGTAGCAGCAGAATCAACCTACAGCCCCCCATTCGTCGGGGCATGGACTCTGCAAGGTGTCGAAAGCGTTCCACAATGATGCTTCCCAAGTTGGCTGGATGTCTTTTTAGGTGGTGGACCATTTTGATACACATGGGAACCTGTTGAGAATGAAAAACTTAACAGCGTTGCAGTTCTTGACACAAACCGGTGCGCCTGGCACCTACTACCATAACACGTTCAAAGGCACTTAAATATTTTGTCTTGCCCATTCACCCTCTGAATGCACACATACACAATCATGTCTCAACTGTCTCAAGGCTTACAAATCCCATTGATTGAAGCGGATTTAACAAGTGACATCAATAAGGGATCATACCTTTCACCTGGTCTTTCACCTGGTCAGTCTATATCATGGAAAGAGCAGGTGTTTTAATGTTTTGTATACTCCGTGTATATGCCAATATCAAAATAAATGCAATATATATTTGTTTACATTGAGATAAGTATTGATAGTACATACCCAGCTGGCACATTGGGTTCCTTGGAAGTTGTGGGAACGTACATTTTTGGTTTCCCATTGGTTCTGGGAACGAAGCCATACATTTCCTGACTGGTACAACAGAATATTTTTTTAACGTTCTGAGAATGGAAGTAAAAATGTATCCTGTTCTGGGAACGTTAATTTTTAGGTTGCAGGGAGGTTCTGAGTACATTTTACTATGGTTCCCAGCAAGTTTTCCTGGGAGGTTTTATTAACATTCTGAGAACAGAAATTATAGTTTATTTGAAGGTAATTAAATAACATTCTGAGAACATGTTTCAATAAGACTTTTAATAACACTGCTAGCTTGGGTTAACAGTTTTGAACTCCAAGCACAGATAGGACACATGGAAATTCATCTTCTTAGGCAGTAATCCTATAAACACATGATTTTTTAAATTATGGCACAGTGTCAGTAGGATTCAAACCTATGATCTTCTTTAGTCCACTGCGCCACCAGGATGGCGCTATCGTGCCATGTTTTTTTTTTACTCATACAAAGCAGTTCATTTTAGTATATTTAAACAGACCTCATTTCAAAGGAAACAAGCACTCATTAAGGTCATGTGTGGCCAATTAGTGGGCGCGGCGAATACACCTCAACAAGATAGAGGATAGAGATAGTTTTGTTGACGCTGAGAACGGAATGTATATGTTTTTAAATAACATTCTTAGAACGTTCTTTGAATGTTAATGTTTTCTTGTGGTTTTATGGAAAGTTTTCTTAATGTTCTGAAAACATGACTTTAAATAGAACCATGAGAACCTGTAGAAAACGTTATGCTGAAGTACTGAAATTCCCACCTAAGAAACATGGTTCTCAGAACATTATGTGCTACCTGGGTATCCTTCACCATTCCCAGAGCATTGTGGGAAGGTTGTGTGCAATATAACCATAGGACAACCACGCTCTAAGAAACATGTTTCTCAGAACGTTGTGCTAGCTGGGTACATATTGTAAAAAAAAAAAAACATATACCCAATATATGTCCAGGAACAGTATATGTGGACGTTTTCAACATATGAAATGGTAGAAAGAAGTAAGCTTACCAGCCAAATACTGCAAATAACAATAGAGACCACACACAGTGAGAATGTTTCAATTTCACAAATCATTTCCAGAGTTGCACCCTGGATATTTTTTTATAGTGCCTTTTTTCACGAATAACCATTTTAAATACCTCGTAACTGTTTTTTGTTTGCAATTGAGGCATAAGAAATGGTTGGTGGAAGGTAATTCACAAGAACTTCAGATACAGAATCTTTGAATATGGAGTACTGATATTTAATATTCTTTAGATATGATTTGAATTTAGTTTTGAATCTTCAATAGTTTAGAATCTTGAAATGTGTTGTTAATTTTGAATTCTTGTTCATTACTAAGTGCCAAATGTTAGTATGTGGTCATACTAAAGTCCAAGTAGTCACCATGTGTTTACCTGCTGTTCTATGGCATTGCAACTGAAGTGAAAGCTTTGGATCGACCTGTACAACGAACCTCGAGTCAGGGGAAGGCTTATAAGTCGTTTAATATACCAGAAATATGCTACAGTCGTATTTTTAAAATGTATATAAGTTATCATGTGATGCCCTCTTACCTTTTATTAAACAGGTAACACAGCTGAGACTGACTCAATGGTCTTATGCAACAATCTGTCCCCTACATATTTATTTGGACAGTGAAGCTAAAATGTTTAATTTGGCTCTATACTCCAGCATTTTGGATTTAAAATCAAATGTTTTATGAGGCGACAGTACAGAATGTCACCTTTTATTTGAGGGTATTTTTATACTTATCTGTTTTACTATTTTAGAAATGAAAGCACCTTATGCATCTAGTCCCCCCATTTGAAGATTTTGTCAAATGTTTTGCATTTGGTACCATATTCCTAGCGCACAATGACTGCATCAAGCTTGTGACTCTACAAACTTGTTGGATGCATTTACAGTTGTTTTTGGTTGTGTTTCGGATTATGTTGTGCCCAATAGAAATGAATGGTAAATAATGGAATATTATGTCATTCTGGAGTCACTGTTATTGTAAATAAGAATAGAATATGTTTCTGAACACGTCTACATTAATGTGGGTGCTACCATGATTACGGATAATCATGAATGAATTGTGAATATTGATGAGTGAGAAAGTTAGAGGTGTAGGGGGATGTATGCATGAATCTTGTGCTCCTCTTAATGGAGTGTAAGGTGTTGGGGATTGATAGGCTATTTCATGTGTTATAACATATTACAGATCTGTCTGAATGCACTGGACAGGCTGTTTATGTAAGCACACTAAAGACAACTTCCCAAACCAGAACACGTTAGGAGGGCCAGGCTTGCCTGCAGGTAAGCCCATTAACTAAGGGGATGGATAACTGGAACTTTGGCATCTCTGACTGGGGGGAGGAGCATCTTAATGTTCTCACCTTATGTAAATGTCTATGTGTGTTTTACCACACAAAACAATCCGAAAACTTTTTTCAACATTTAAAATGATCTTCTTTGTAATACATTGGTGTCCTGTGAATATATTTTATTGATTGCTGACAAGAAAATTGTACAACAAAGAGGATAAAAAAATATTTTCACAACATATGAGATGGTTAGGAAGTCCCTGATATTATTGGCATGCACACTTTTTTTGTTGCAGCACACAGTATAAAGATCTGTATAAACATACAATACAAACTTAGCTCTGACTCAACATCTCATCAACTCATTGGACATTAGCTTGTCAAATGAATGACTTCAGTGATGCAAGAAGGTAAGGCAACAACCCAGATTGGTTATGGCCAGGATAAGGGGCTGGGGAGAAGTTACCCCAGAAAAACTATGCTTTAACAGCAAAAAAAATCATAGCGCCCCGTATGGGGCTCTAACATGCAACATTCCACTTTGCAAGGCTGGTGTTACGGCTACCTTCATCCCCCAAGGACAAAACTAACAGCGTGTGGCTGCCCTCTGGTGGACGAATCGGGAAGTCAGACGTATAACTCCCTAGGACACACGTCCAAATAACACAGTCTGCGGTTTGGGACACACCTACACAATTTATTTTACACTTATGTCGTTCACACACCTTTTTAAATATGGTGAATAGTATTTACTCAAATATTATTTACCCAATTTCTTTCCCACTAGGTACACCCCTGTCACTTACCACTACACCGCCCACCCCAGTTAAACATACTGATGAGAGAGTGGTAATATATATAGGCTCCTTAGTCTGAGCTTTGATAATCCAATAGTCTGACCCCCTCCTCTGCCACGCACTCATTAGGCAAGGATCAAGTGCCAATCTCCTCCCAATCGAAAGCTGTTTGATTACCATAGGCTATCAGACATCCCTCAGAACAAAAATCTGTTCAATTGAGTCAACTGATAACATCATTATTTCAACATAATTTCCATTTAATTATGGTTAGCATCAGCATAGCACACCATAGCTGTCCTGGGTGAATTTGCTACATTTCTTCAATGTAATCAATTTTGGTCTCCTTTTAATGTAAGGTTCATTTCATTTCAAGTTAAATTCATGTTGGTTGAAAGCAGAATCAAATATCAACCAATGTTGGATATTGTTCTGTCTTTGCCTGGTGGCATGTTGTTTTTACCCATAGCCAGGTGTATGTTGGCCAGGACCCAAGAGTACAACCCCATTATACGGTACCTATCCTCAGGTGTAATCCAATCTGAAGAGGTGGAGAATGTCCCCACACACACATTGTCCTCATCACTATTCCTTATTCATTACTACAATTAGCTAACAACATTAGATAATTCATACAGAGATCCTTACCTTTGCTTCAATTTGGCAGTCTCATCCATTTGTAGTTCTTTATGATAGCCACATTAGCAGTTAATTAGCGTTTCATTTTTGGGGAGTAAATACAGGTGAATATATTGATCAAAGTCACCTTGTCCTAGAGAGATTTACACGGTTATCAAAACGTCACGCCAGGGTAAGCCTACACGAAACACAGCCCTTATTTTAAGTGTTTCTAAAATCGCCTATATGAAAAATGAATGGTGGAAAAACAATTGGAACCATTTCCCTGTTTGACCGCTAGGTTTTATGGGTATTATGGTTCATACTGTGGTACTCTGTAGGGAATCGGAGGAACAGCCCCTGCTTGGCAGTGTAATTTTGACTGATCAAAGTCAAATCAAAGT